CAGACAAACTTGTGCGGGTTAAAAACCTTTCCCCCACTTGAACTGTTTGATGCCCCCAGAGTTCTGAATAGTTTAGTGACGATTTGGGGGCAGCAAAGTTATTCTCCTAAACACCCCAGCACAATGCTCAGCATCAGGGCATTACTGTGGATTCCTTCCACCATGTAATTCACAGACTCCACTCAAATGTTGCCACTTTTTAAATTATTTTATTTCTCTTTAGGAAAAGGACCCAGTTCAGAATCACACATTTCATTGGTGTGTCTGGATGTGTCTCTTCAGCCTCCTCCCATCTGCCCAACCTCCAGGGTCTTTCTGTGACTCTCACACTCTTCACATACATGAGATATACAGGCCATATTTTCACATACATGAGATATACAGGCCATATCTTCACACACATGAGCTATACAGGCCATATCGTCACATACATGAGATACACAGGCCATATTTTCACATACATGAGATACACAGGCCATATTTTCACATACATGAGGTATAAAGGCCATATATTCACATACATGAGATATACAGGCCATATTTTCACATACATGAGGCATACAGGCCATATCTTCACATGCATGGGATACACAGGCCATATTTTCACATACATGAGATATACAGGCCATATCTTCACACACATGAGATATACAGGCCATATCTTCACATACAGGATATACAGGCCACATCATTTGAAAGTTGTTCAGCTCTCTGAGTCTGCCTGATGTTACTCCTGCTCACAATCAGATTTTGCATTTTGGGCAGGGCTGTCCCAGAGGAGATATTTTGTCTTCCTTGGGGCCTTGGATCAGGAGGCAGGTAGCATTGACTTGAACCATCACTGGTGATGTGAACCTTGATCACTTGATTAAGGTGGTGTCTGCCCTGTTTCTCCATGTAAAGTTCCTCTTTATTCCTTTTATGTATCTTTTATTATTATTATTTTTAGAGGCCTGATGCATGAATTCGTGCACCAGTGGCGTCCCTTGGCCTGGCCTGTGGGATCGGGCCAAAACTGGCTCTCCGACATCCCCTGAGGGGTCCCAGATTGTGAGAGGGCACAGGCCAGGCCGAGGGACCTGCTGGTGCACAATCAGGGCCAGGGAGGGATGCGGAAGGTTGGCCTGCTGGGGAGGTCCACAGGAGGGCTCCAGGGCGTGTCTGGCCCTTCTCACTCAGTCCGGATCAGCTGGACCCCAGCAGCAATCGAACCTACCAGTCAGAGTGTGTGCCCCCTGGTAGTCAGTGCATGTCACAGAGAGCAGTTGAGCGGCCTTAGCATATCACTATCCTATTAATCTTTGATTGGTTGAATGGATGACCAGACGACTGGACACTTACCATATTAGGTTTTTATTATATAGGATTGATGTCAGAGAGGAAGGGAGAGGGAGAGAGAGATAGAAATATCAATGATGAAAGAGAATCATTGATTGGCTGCTTCCTGCACACCCCCCACTGGGGATCGAGCCCAAAACTGCATGTGCCCTTGACCGGAATCGAACCAGGATCCTTCAGTCTGTAGGCTGACTCTATTCACTGAGCCAAACCAGCTAGGGCTGAGTTTTGTTTTTGTTTTTAACATCTTTTAAAATTTAAGTCAAGAGAGCTGTTCCCAAAGATCAATATCACTTAGTCTTTAAGATAGAAGATATGGATGACGCCTTATGTGGTAACATGTGATTTTTATGAACATCTTTACTCTGGGGGAATGGGTTTTAGGCAGCTGTTGCCACAGTGGAGAAATATTTCTAACTTTTTTTTGGCTGGAAAGCTTGCATCCCTTTACCCCTCCACCCACAAAAGACACAAAGATCCCCAACACACATGAGCAAAAGACTCTATCTTCAATCTCTTTGCAAATGATGACAACTAGGCAGGCCACTTTCTACTCCTGACAGAGACTTTCTTCTGCAAAGAGAAGATAAGGCTACTGAGGGAGTTAGACAAACCTGCTGGGCTGTAGTTTACACCCACAGGGAGATATATTTCCCAGTTTTGTGCATGTTTTTTAGTCAAGTGGGGGTGAGACAGAGGATGGCTTAAAGTTTGAGTGGTTCTCATACAGTTCCTCATGTTGTGGTGACCCCCAACCATAAAATTATTTTCGTTGCTACTTCATAACTGTAATTTTGCTACTGTTATGAATCGTAATGTAAATATCTGATATGCAGGATATATTTTCATTGTTCGCGACCCACAGGTTGAGAACCGCTGCAAACTTTAGAAGCTTATGAATATGCTTTTGTTTCTTGGAAATCAGGGGAAATGATTTCTTGCCTTTATACCAATGCCCTTGTATAAAATATGACTTTTAACATTTTTATGGAGGCAGGAGCCCTCAAAGGGGGCCTTTAACTTACTGACAATTCATCATTTGTCCGTGGGTGTGTTTGGCTGCCAGGAACCCCTCCAGGGCTGTAGAGATGAGTAAGGGGCCAGCAGGGGAAGTGGGTCTGCTCTAAACCCAGATTGCCCCCCACCTGCACAGGTGACCTGGATGAGGAGATCATTCCGGAAGAAGACATCGTTTCCAGAAGCCAGCTCCCTGAGAGCTGGCTGTGGACCATCGTGGAGTTAAAGGATCCAGAGAAAAATGGGTAAGGCTGGGTCACCCCTTATTCCAACCCACCCCCAGGCACTTCCTGCCAACACTCCGGACCAGAACATTTAACTTGCATGCACCCCAACCTCCTCTGTTTTCTGGAATCTAGTGGAACTCCACAACCCAACCTAGAAAAACCTCCACGTGCCCACACCCACACCTCCAACCTGCCCTTGGGGCCCCTCATTACCTGCTCTCCCCTCCACCACATCTTCTCCTAAGGCCCCCATTTCTCCTCCTAGAGTCTCCTCCAAGATCATAGAGGTGATTTTGAGAAACTCCACCACCACCTGGGAGATCATGGCTGTGAGCTTGTCCGACAGGAAAGGTGAGGTGGTGGGTTCACAGGCCCCAGGGCCCCGGGCATTTTCTGTTTCTCATTCAATTTCTGCTTCTTGGTGTCTGACACTCTACCCCATGGTTTACTGGGTGGGGCGGGTACATCAGAGTCCAGATTGTGGGTGCCAGTGCTTTTTATTTTATTTTAAATATGTTCTTGATTTTTTAGAAAGAGAGGAAGGGAGAGATACCAGAAACATCGATGAGAGAGAAACATCAACATCAGCTGGCTGCCTCCTGCATGCCCCTGTTGGGGATGGAGCTCAAACCCAGGCATGTGCCCTCCCTGGGAATCAAACCAGTGACCTTGTGGTGCATGGGTTGATGCTCAACCCCTGTGCCACACTGGCAGGGCAGTGCTTTTAATTTTTTAAATTGATTTTATTTTTAGAGAAGTTTTAGTTTCACAGCAAAATTGAGCAGAAAGGCCCTGGCCAGTTTGGCTCAGGTGGTTGGAGCGTCGGCCTGTACAACAAAAGGTGGTGGGTTTGTTTCCTGGTCAAGACCCTGGTTTCAGGGGATTGAGGCCTGTGCTGGAGGCAACCAATGAATGTGTCTCTCTCACAACAATGTTTCTCTCTCTGTCTCTCCCCGTCCCTTCCAGTCCCTCTTAAAATCAGTGGGAAAAAATATCCTCGGGTGATGATTAACAAAAACAAAAAAATATTCTATTAAATAATGGAGCAAAACCCTAGCTGGTTTGGCTCAATGGATAGAGCGTCAGCCTGCGGACTGAAGGGTCCCGTGTTTGATTCCAGTCAAGGGCACATGCCCTGGTTTTAGTCTTGATCCCCAGTAGGGGGCGTACAGGAGGTAACCGATCAATGATTATCTCTCATCATTGATGCTTCTATCTCTCTCTCCCTCACCCTTCCCTCGCTGAAATCAATAAAAAATACATATATATTTAAAAATTTTGAGCAAAAAATACAGAGATTTCCGATATACCCTCTGCCACTTCCCACACCATGAACAGCCGCCCCCACTGTCAACATCCCCCACCAGATGGGTGCATTTGTTATAATCAATTGTGAAGACTCCAAGTTCATAGCTGACAGTAGGAATTCACTCTTGATGTTGTACATTCTATGGATTTGGTCTAATGTTTCATGACACGAGTCCACCATTGTAGTATCGTACAGAATAATTCGCAACCACAAAAACATTTAAGGAGGTGCTGTCGGCATGATAGTGGGTAAAGTGATTAAGAAAGAGGAGGAAGCGGGATGAAATGGGGATTGAAACATCGGTGGTCAGATTGGGAAGCGTGAGAAAAAGGTTACCTGTCCCCGGTCACCCACAGCTGGAGTGAGACCCGAGGAGCTCTAGCGAAATGGGGATGGTTTACAGCAGGGCCGGGAGGGGTGAGGGAAGGAAGGCCCCACTTCTAGTGCAAAATGTAAGTGGGTGCCAAGAAGTCCGTCATCAAGGTAAGTAATATCCCACTGCAGCCGTTTTTAAAATAAAAGTGAGTAAAAAAAATCTATAATGAACAAAATATCCCAATTTTAAACAGAGACCAGAGCCAGGGCAGGTTCTATGTATAATTTAAAGGTTGAATTTGTCAAAAAATATTAAAACATTAAAAGGCAGGTATATTAAAACTCATAATATTAAGTGTAAATATTTTATTTATACCAAAGCCAGAATTATTATATTGTATTCTCATTTTGTTTAGTTATAATATATAATAAATTAAACTTTATTATCATTTTACTTTTCTGACTTCAAGATTTTAAAATTCTGCTTCTTTGCTTATCTCATTTTCAATTAGAGAAATTGAAAATTTCTGCCAATTTCTCTTATTTAAGAAAAATATCTTTTTATTGATTTGAGAGAGAGAGGAAGGGAGAGGGAGAGAGAGAGAAAGAGAGAGAGAGAGAGAGAGAGACATCCCTGAGAGGAAAACATGGATGGGCCACCTCCTGCACACCCCCTACTGGGGATGGAGCTGAAAACCTGGGCCTTTACACAGGGGCACATAGTTTTCTTTTGCCTGGTACTCCAGTATGACTCAGCAGGAACCACTGTGTGGCCTTAATCAAGCTACTCAACCTCTCTGCGCTCCTCCATAAAATGGACAGGATAGAAATAGCACGTACTCTGAGCATTGTTGGGAGGTTGTTATGAGTTAATACATGTAAAGCCCTTATAACAGTGCCTTTAATAAAAGGAAGGAAGGAAGGAAGGAAGGAAGGAAGGAAGGAAGGAAGGAAGGAAGGAAGGAAGGAAGGAAGGAAGGAAAGAAGGAAGGAAGGAAGGAAGGAAAAGTTGTAATGTTCGCTGGTGTGTTATTTTATATTTCTGGTAGCCCCATGAAAAAGGAGTATGATGAAACTGATTTCAAAGAGTACATTTTATTTCACCCAAATATATCCAAAATATTATCG